AAAGTAGAAGGAAATTTCTAAAAACACGTTATCTGAGATTCTGTGTTTAAAATAGTATGATCTGTGCATGAGTGGCAGTAATAAGCTTTACCAAATCCACTGAACTCAATCCATCTTCCATAATTCTCCATGTCTGTGATTCATTTTAGATTCCTTAATTCAATTCTCACCATGTCCAGATATATTCTCTTTCCCCTATTCTCATTTGACATTTTTAAAGGTATCTTTTCTCTGCCACTCCACAAAGTAATGGCTGTTATAAGACTTTTTTTCAATGGACTAGCAAAGCTCACTAAATCATTAAAAAAATAAAAGATCTCTCATTGCATCCTGTAAGAGCTAAAAAACTACAGAAGTCTAAAAGTAGACTTAAACTCAGCTCTGTGTTTTACTCAAACTAAAATTAACTTGATAAATATCCTTCACAACAGTTCTCTGGAAGGGAAATATATCCAGGTGTTGATACAGAAATGAGGATGATTTCTCTTTCAGTTTTTTTTTCCCATTAAGTCTTTCATCTTCTAGCTGTAAGTGACGTGAGAGAGAATTACAATTTATTCTCGGGGTCTTGGCCACTGACTATTTTGCCTCTTTCTCCAGCCAAGTAATACATTTGCTAAAGCTTAAAAATTTGGAACAGAAGAGACAACAAAAAGAAACATTTTTTTTCCCCATTTCCAGGATACTATTATAATCACCTTAACCAAATATGAATTGGGCTCCTTTGAATCAGGAGATCATCTCTAGGTCATGAGAGTGAGTTTAACATGGATTACGAGGCCTTGCACAAGACCTAGCACAAACATGGGTGAACTCCTGAACTCAGCAGCAGCTTCAGACAACTTTGGTGTCATTGGTGAGTTCCCAGCACCAAGTCTAGCTCTCCCTCAGTTTATGGCTCTGGAATGAATTCTGCTTCTTGTTCTTTTTTTATTTGCTGTTTTTTTATTTTTTATCTTTGCATGAACCTACACTTTCTCATCTCCTTCTGCCTCCTTTTTTCAGGCAATTGCATGACACATTGGACATGCTCTGCCCACAAAGGACAGTTCTCCACCTCTAAGAAGAAGAAGACTTGTTTTTTGCTTTCAGCGTGGGAATCTTCATACCATGTCAAAAGGAATGCTCTGTCAGAAAAGGTTGCTGATGATGTGGCAAAGAAAACTAGAAAAAAAGGAGAAAAGAGAAGGAAACAAACAGGAAAAAAAAAGGATAATGGAATAAAGGAGGATAGAGAAGGGAAAATGAAGGGGGAAAAGAGGGCAAAAAACAGGAGGGAAGAAAAGAGAGATGGTGGAAAGAAAAGTAAAAAATCACTTGCCATTACGATCCTAAAAAAAATGAATTTCCAAATAACTCAGATACAAAAATCTTCATTTCCCTGTAACTCTGCTTACTAGTCAGTGAACTCAGTGAAAATATTTCTCCATGTCCTTCACTTCAGCTTAAGAGAACATAAACCTGAGATTGAAATAGGATCTCAGGTAGTAATTGGGTATCCTTGGACTCCAATATTGCTGTTCAGGGGATATTCCTCAAATTTGATTTCTCTCTCAAGGTACAAAAAGTACCATTTATTTGTTGGGCTTGGAGTTCAGTCTGCTCCTAACAATGGTGACTTTTTCCCTGAAGCTTTTTCAGGGGGCTCCATATGGAAACTGAAATAAAAATAATTGTCCTCCAGCAAGATTGGGTGAGAATATTTCGGTTCCAGCACAGATGCCCAGACGTTGCCTCAAGTCAAAATATGCTACTATCAAGACTTCATTTGTTCAAATAAGGCTCAAGATCTAAAGTAAATACTATTACTCTATGAGAAGAAAAGGGGAAGTCTTTCAGTTTTCCTTGATATTTCATACTGTTGTGCAACTGCAGCTGCTTTATATATAGTATCAAAAATTATTTTTCTGAAATTAACAATTTAAAAAAATTATTTAGAATGCCATTATCATCTGCTTTGACAGTTTAGATTTGGACTGTGTTTAATGTAAGAAGAAAAGCATAATATTTTGATGATGGCAGCCTCTACATTACATCTACATTGTTTTCACTAAAATTTTGTGTTAAAATATTCTTGCTTTTTCAACGACAAAATTTAATGTCAAACAACAGCTTTCTCACCCATCATGTAAAAGGTACCAGGTACATTTTACTTCTGGATTATTACACAAATAATTGAATTAGAATTGCATCCACATATAACTTAATATGGAATAATGTTAAATAAATAACCTTACCTCCATCAAAGCACCATTTTTAGTAAGCAAAAGCCTTTTGCTTATTTGCAAATAACACATAAAATCTCTTCTTCCTCTAATATTTACAGCATCTTTATATGTCCTGCTATGGTTTCCCTAAAACTATATTTAAACAAATGTATGAAATGCAACCAGAATCTGCAATTTAGCTTCAAGTAAATCAGAATATTCAGTGTGAAGATTTAAGGTACAGCTGTTTCTGCCATTCATTTGGGTAATCACTGTACATAAATTTATACACCATGAAAAGCTTTATTCATGTTCATATGGTGTGAAAATTGAAAGGAAAACTCTAAATTAATTACCTTTTTAAGCAAAGCAATTTAGATTTATCACATCCAGCAAGGGAATTTGTTCACATATTATAAAGCTGCTGTGAAATAGCGAAACGAAATATGAGTTAGGAAAAAAGGTTTACGCTCTGTAGAGACTTTAGGATGTGAAAAGCAAATTAGCTGCCCCTGACTTCAATCAGTGTGCTCTTATGAGTTTGGGTAATGTCTACCTTCTGCAGCAGCCTGGTGCCCTGTGGAAGCTCCAGAGAAACGTGGAGCGGCACAAGTATTTGTCTAGAACCACCTGAGACTTTTCCTTCCCCAGCATCAACTTTGAGAATAAGGACTTCAGCTTCTGAGGTAGCACATTTTTATTTTTCCTTCACACCTTACTAATAAATGTCAGTCAAAAGCCATTAGATAGCAGTAAGTCTGCCTGAATGCAATAAAAAGAACTTACTCTCATCTGCTAGGAAGTGTCATTTTCTTCCACATGACTTATTTCAGTGGGTATGTAGAAAAGCATTGCTTCTTTGATTTCTGTGAATCTTCCATTATTTCTCATTATGAGCCTCAAGTTCCTCACTCCATATGCTTGATTATATCCCAGTATACTACCAGTTATTTATTCAGGTAGTGTTTGTCAACGTGCATCCACCTTTAATTTACAGTTGGAACAGGAAACATGGGTTGATGAAATAATTTGAAGCCCAAAATTGATCTCCAAGAAAATAAAATACATTCAATGTCTTTTGCCATAGGACAACTATGCCATAAACAAACAGTCACCAAAATACATAGAGTGTGAAAATTATTTTTCCATTTCTTTCAAGCACAGCCATGTTTGCTTCATAGAGAATACAAAATTACCAGTGGATATCATTCAGGGAAGGAAAATATTTTAAAACTTAATTTTTCAGCACTGTTGTTTCAGCATGCTAACAAAATCAATGCTAACAAAAATCATCTCCTTTTAATCTGTTATTCTTTTGTTCTATTGAAGTGACTCAAGATCAATATATATTGATTTGCTCCCTAATTATATTAATTTTACTTTAGAAATTAGGGAGGCCATAATGAGAATGTGAAGTTACTTGAAGACAGTACATTATAGGTAGTCTAATTTAGAAGGAGTCTGTGCATGAGATTAATTCATTAAAAGGAGCCAATTACCATACAAACAGGGGAGATAAATAAGATTTTCTCCTTTAATTTGCATTTTATATATTCCTTTGTAATTTTTAAAAACTTAAATGAATTTACAACCTAACTATACTTTTAATGTATATCCATTTTATTCCTGGGGAATGTAATTGCATTTAATTTGAACCTTTACCTTTGTCTTTTAGACATAGCATTTTAGAAAACGAGATTGTGGCATCCAGGTATAAGACATTTTATGTGACATTTTTATTAAGAAAAATAATGAAATGTTAATACTTTTAAAAGTCCAACTTTTCTTTACACTAAACTTTTCTCTGCTTACTGATGATAAGATGTTCAGTGGATAGATAATGATACAGAAGATGAAGGTAATTTGGCCTGTCTTGGCTGAGAATTTGGCTCATAAATGTATCTCAGCCTTAAATGACTACCTACAAACATTACAGAAATCATTATGTCAGTTGGATAGCCACATATTTTATCAATGCAAATTGTTGCTTGATGATATGATTTATTTGAAGAACTTGTTCTTTGATGAGGTTAAAATCTAATTGCTTATTTTTAGAATGACCCTCTCCTTGCTGATTTTTTGCAGTATACACCAGTATAATCCAGAGAATTGACATACTTGATTCTTTGTTGCTTTACAGCTGAAGGACTGGGAGTATCTCCAGTGAAATATCACAAATGTAATCACACTTGTGTAATTTAGTGTCTGCAAAGACAGAATCAGACCCAAGGGATCTTTAAAAGAAACTTACTCTGGCATAAAGCCATTTGTAATTCTCTTAAAAACTTAACAAAAGTCCTTTAGCTAACCGAAGACTGCTTTTTTCCAGAGAAGGTACGTGGTGTCATTCAATGTTTTGGGAGAAAGGAAAGGGAAAGGGAAAGGGAAAGGGAAAGGGAAAGGGAAAGGGAAAGGGAAAGGAAAGGAAAGGAAAGGAAAGGAAAGGAAAGGAAAGGAAAGGAAAGGAAAGGAAAGGAAAGGAAAGGAAAGGAAAGGAAAGGAAAGGAAAGGAAAGGAAAGGAAAGGTGCGGAAAGGTGCGGAAAGGTGCGGAAAGGTGCGGAAAGGTGCGGAAAGGTGCGGAAAGGAAAGGAAAGGTGCGGAAAGGAAAGGTGCGGAAAGGAAAGGTGCGGAAAGGAAAGGTGCGGAAAGGAAAGGTGCGGAAAGGAAAGGAAAGGTGCGGAAAGGAAAGGTGCGGAAAGGAAAGGTGCGGAAAGGTGCGGAAAGGTGCGGAAAGNGAAGCGGCGGCCCCGCGTTCCGCCCGCGGAAACTTTGCCCGGCGCGCAAGGGGAAGGATGGAGCCCGCGGAGCCCGCGGCGGCGCTCCTCAACCTGTCCCGAGCCGCGGCAGAGACGCCCCGCGGGGAGTTCAACCTGTCCGGGCTGCCGGAGGCCGAGGGGAAGCCCCTCTTCGGCATCGGCATCGATAACTTCATCACCTTGATCGTCTTCGGTTTAATCTTCACCCTGGGGGTGCTGGGCAACACCCTGGTGATTACGGTGCTGGCGAGGAGCAAGCCGGGCAAGCGCCGCAGCACCACCAACATCTTCATCCTCAACCTGAGCATCGCCGACCTGGCCTACCTGCTCTTCTGCATCCCCTTCCAGTCCACGGTCTACGTGCTGCCCACCTGGGTGCTGGGAGCTTTCATCTGCAAGTTCATCCACTACTTCTTCACCATCTCCATGCTGGTGAGCATCTTCACGCTCTCGGCCATGTCTGTGGACCGGTACGTGGCCATCGTGCACTCGCGCCGCTCCTCAGCCTTGCGTGTTCCCCGCAACGCGATGTTGGGTGTGGGGCTCATCTGGGCGCTCTCCTTCGCCATGGCCTCGCCTGTGGCTCACCACCAGCGCATCTTCCACCGCGAGACCAGCAACCAGACCTTCTGCTGGGAGTTCTGGCCCAACCCACGCCACAAGAAGGTCTACGTGATTTGCACATTCGTCTTTGGCTACCTGCTCCCGCTGCTGCTCATCTCCTTCTGCTATGCCAAGGTGGGGCACATGTAAAAGGATGGGGGGGACATGGTGGTGGAAAAGGTGTCCGTGAGCCGTAGGGCCGTTTCTGGGCATGTGGAGGGACTTGGCACTGTTGGGAGAAAAAGGAGCAGGGGTGAGTTTGTGCCACAAAGGGAGAGGGCAGGTTTTACAGCTGAGGGATGTCTGAGGGGGGTACAGCATATATTCAGTGTCACAGAGAGGTCAGAACAGGGATTGCATGGGCTGAGTGGGGGGGTTGGTCTGGCGATTACTGGGATCTCTCTGTCAGATTTTCTTGTTGCAGAATGCCAAGAGCCCCAGTGCTCTGCTGCTTTCACTGTCACCGTAACTCTTCTAATTTCTTGCAGTGCTGTGTGAAGAGTTTGGCTCCATAAAGTAAAACAAAGCAACAAGTTGTTCAGGCTTCAGATGAAGCATTATGGTTCTTTAAAATGCACAGTGCACTTGAAAGTGGCAAAATGTATCTGTTTGGTGCTAAGAGTAAAATGTGCATTATGCTGCCTGATCCCTGTTGGTGCCATGTCTTGCCCCAGTTAAAGCTGATGAGAGAGTTACCTCTGACTACAGCAAGGGCAGGTGATTCTAAGGAACAGGGCATGAGAACCCAGGTAGGAAAAAGCAGTAATTAAGGGTGTCTGAATATGGGTATTTAAGGACTTTTATGCTTAAGCAAAGTGACACATTCTTCTGGAGTAATTGCAGCCTTCAGCGTATGATCCTCTGCTCGCTGCTGAACAGGATCTGGAGCACCAGCTGCTACCTGCTGAGTTAGTCGGAGATCCTGCTGCTTCTGTGCCAGCTGCCTTCAGTCGCTGGATTTCTCCTTAGGCAGTGCTTTACATTTGAGAGGACTGGACTGCTCTTGCAAATAAGGACTGCTTAAGTCAGTTCTTCAACTGGCAAGTTCAATAGATGTACCTGAAGTATTTAATTTGAACAAGTAATTTTATGTTCTTCCCAGTTTTATATACATTACATCAGCTTAATTGTGATGTGCAAATTGAGGATATAATGTTGTCCAACTCTGAATCAAAGGCACGCAGAACATAAAGGACAACATTTCTAAATGGCTGTTCATCGTGGAACAAATCCAACTGGCAAATGGAGAAGAAACACAAGTTTTCATACATAAACTGAACCCTGCTTTCCCTGAATGAATATGCTGGTATTTCATCTACGGTGGTGAATATGACTGAGCTTTAGTGATAGAGCATCAGTTTGAAAGAAGTATTGCACATTGCAGGGAGAACATTACAGAATGCATGCACAGGGGCTTTCAGCTACAAATTCTTCCCTTTTTCAAAGCCAAAGCATCTTCAGTCTCAGCATAAAGTACTGGCCTTCAAAGTCTAATTATATGAGAGAAGATTAAAAAGAAATCTTTCAAAATTAGCATAGTCCTGTACAGTGTTGGCATGAAAAAAGCAAATATGTTTAACCAAAATATATGCATAGTAAATAAAACACACTCTGTCATTACAAAGCACCTGCACAGAAGTAAATCTCTCAATATTAATGTTAATATGTAGTTTTAAAAAATAAATAAATAACCTCCAAGAAAAAAAAAAAAAAAAACCAACTCTATGTGAAAAATATGCCAGGAGTTAGTTAAAATCAAGTACTAAAATCAAGGCCACTTGAAATTACAATAAAATTGAGTGTTTAAACTATTGCCTGGCTAGGGTCTCACCCTGGCTTTGTGATGTGTTTTGAGCCTGTATGTGTGATCCTGCTTGCTGTGGTGTCAGGCTGGAGGAGCTAACCTGACGGGGTGAATTTTAGAAGATAGCTAGGAGCTAGCTCATATTCCCAATCAGTTTACAAGCTGAAAAGTGCCGTGGCTTGTACAGAGCTATCAAAGGTATTTGTACCCCGCAGCTAAAGACTCGCTCCTGCCCTCTTTGGGAGCCACTGACAAACCTCCAGCTGCAATACTTTGGGGCAGGGGAGCCTTCTCTTCAGGCTGAGCATCCCCAACTCTCTCAGCCTGCCTTCAAAGGAGACATTAATCTCTGCATTAGTTTCTAATGAACTTCAGTGGTTTTCATGAACTGTGGATCAGCGAGATAACGCAATCTTCTGCTACAGTAAATTAAGACAAAGAAGACTCATTTTTCTATTTGAATATATTGCCTTTTCTAGACTCCTTTAAGGCAGTTCTGTTTCTTTCATAAACAAATTGCAGTTGAACTTTTGGTTTTGAAAGTCTCATTTTTTAGGCACTCTAATAGGGAGCCAAGCTCTTTCTCTCTCACTCACATTTATATCATATTAGCAGAGATTTGTATTTTGCCCATGGATAACAATGCTGTTACAATGTACAGAAGTGCTGAAGTATGCCAGGTTATTTGGAAGCAGTGTCCTCCCAAGATATCTCATGTCATATATGCTCTTTAGGCAGAGATTTATGAGATCATGCTCTGTCTTGTGTGTACAGATATCTCTTTTCTCTCTTCCACGAGTAACATTGGTTCCGTTTTAATGCAAATTTTTCCTAGAGGAGTGGAAATATCAGAATTAAGGATGCTTTCCTAGTTCTGTGAAAACAGAAGACAATGAAGAAGGTGGAGTGTCTCCATTATCCTCTCTATTTTAAAGAGTCAGTTTGCATTAAACACCAGACAAGCCATAAAGGAAGAGGTCTTATCAACTCTCAGAGAAGAAGACACATCTTTTTAGGAACACAGTAAAGAAGTCACAAATCCACAGGAAACCAGTTGCCTCACAGAACTACTCTTGAAAGAAACTTACTACATCAGAGGGAGGAGCAGTGATTATGTAGTGATCAGCTGAGTCTCAGCACTGCATACTTACAGACACCTTGTATTCCGACTCTTTTATTGCTTATCACTGTACTTACTGTATTTTTGTAATACTGGCTTTTTGTATGTGTTTCATAACAGTGCTGCAACGTTTGCTCACTAATGTGTCCTTAAAGGGTAAAGTGATAAATGATTCCCTGTCAGCTTCTAGCAGTTGACATCTGCCAGGGTTGTGCAGTGTTACAACTAATTTTGGGTACCTCCATTTTTCAAGGATTCACTCCTTGAAAGTCAGGCCTCTTCCAGTCAAACCTTTTGGTTGGACACCTGTAATTATTAGCAAACATTTCCTTTTATAGATGTATAATGTTAAAAGCTTTCTTTAAAACAAATATGTCTTGCCCTAAGAATGTTTCCATTATTATCTATCATTCTGAACATTCTGAATTCATGTCGTGTATGATTTACAGACTTGGTTAAAACTAAGCCATAAAAAGTAAGAGGCTCAACATAAAATACATGCTTATTTGGCTTTGGATATTATATCCTAAATTTTGCTAAGCAGCAAGGGGAAAACTTTATTAAACTGCACTGAAAGAGACAAATCAAAGGTATGACACATTAGTCACCCATTTGAAAGAGGGTGAAGGATCTCTTGTGACAATAGAAGTAGCAGCATTACTTTAAAACATGGATTGCAGGCAATGGCACTTGAATTTCAATCAGGTTCATACTACAAAGGTGGTTCAGAATTTAATGCCTACATTATTCATAAAACAAGCAGTTCATTCTTACTAGATAGTGACCTTGTGCAAGCTTTCCTTCTGCATGATTTCCAGTGGATGATAATGAGGGTGCAGTCAGTGAAATGCCAGACAGCAAACATGGTTTTTAACTTCAATCTTTCACAATGTTTGGTAGACTTATGTGAATAGGCATAGATGAAGTTATTTTCCTTAATCCTGTAGTGGAAAAAATCTCTTTCTCTGCTTGATTTGGTCAAAGTCCTCAGTCAGGGCTTCGAACAATCTTAAATGTAGTTTCTGAAACAAGTGGGGGGAAAGAATAATTAAAAACTGGTTTAGAAAGTGAGAGAAAGGGAAAAAGAGAGAGAAAAAGAAAGCAAAAAGAAGAAAGGAAAGGAGAAAGAAGGAAGGGGAGGGGGAGGGGAAGGTGCGGGAAGGTGCGGAAAGGTGCGGAAAGGTGCGGAAAGGAAAGGTGCGGAAAGGAAAGGTGCAGAAAGGAAAGGAAAGGTGCGGAAAGGTGCGGAAAGGAAAGGAAAGGAAAGGAAAGGAAAGGAAAGGAAAGGAAAGGAAAGGAAAGGAAAGGAAAGGAAAGGAAAGGAAAGGAAAGGAAAGGAAAGGAAAGGAGTCATTAAACCTGAAAAAAATAATTGAAAATACATAGATCTTGTAATCCATAAATTATTGTTTTTGTAGTACTGTGTGTTGATACTGGTTGTTGCCATAGAAAGTACATTGATGCAAAGGGTTCAGTGCAGTAGATTTTCTTCCTTATCTCCCTTCCCAACTCCTTTATGTTAAACCTGTATTAAAAATTATGTTTGACAGCCTCTCTCTTCAGGGGCATTTGAGGAATAAGTTGCCTCTATGTCATGTGGACCTTAGGATAAACCCATGGATAATTCAAGCCTTGGACAAGTGGAAGCAGTCTCTGAAGTGGGAAACTGAAGCTCATATCTGGTTTCAAACATGTATATTCTCAAAAAGATGATACTGAAATGGACATTCAGTGAACCTCTGACCCTATGCTGCTAAAATTTAGCAATAAATATTTTTCTAAAAGAAAAGACATTTGGTTTTCAAATTTTCCAGTTCCTTACCTCAAGCTGAGGTATCCTTTGGTTTGGTCCCATTCAAGGCTGTTCTTAATAAGGTAGATACTGGCTGCAATGAATATTTTTAATTGATACCAGTGGGCCACAGACAAAACCTGGATGAAATTCATTGTCTTCCTTGGGTTTCCACAACACAGACATTGGTGCTAAAACATAACAGAAACATCTGAAGAGATTAGGCTACCAAATTGCTGCAATTTCTCTGTATGCTGCAAGCTCCAGGAAGCAACAAAGGGGAATTTAAAAGCAGTTTTACCAACATCTGGTGCCTTCTTAAATCCAAGCTGCCTTTCTCTGCCAGCAATAATTAGATGCTTCATGGAAAAATATGACCAATATGAAGAATTGTCATTCATATTGCAAGCAGATTGCCAGACAGATAACACATCATGATAATGATGATGATGATAATGACATGTAAATGTTATACATACTGCATTACTATTACATTCCTGCACTGAATGCTGCATGCAGAGCATAAAGGAGCCTCCTTATAGAAGTGTTCAGCTAAAATCAAGGCTAAAATTTTCAAAAGTAATCAACATCTATTTGTCATAGGCTTTTCTACTGTTGCTCACGAGTGTAGCCACCGAACACATGCTCCAGCAGTGGAATGATTCCACTGTATCTGGGTGCAATTTGAGAACAATGAGAAATGTCACCCCAGTAAGCTTTTCTTCCTTTTTTTCCCTGACAGTCTCAATAAGAGACTGAGGGTACATCTTTGCTAGATAGGCCTCAGTTGTAATGTCAGAATTATTGTTAAATAAGATACAGGGTAAAATAGCTTGTGCAAACCCCTGGATTAGGACCTCAGCAGCATGTGAGTTAGCTAGTGTAGAGTTTCAGCATTATTCCTTGTTCTACATCAGGACTCATTCTTATCATAACCATTTAGTATGAAACTCTCTGTTCCTGTGTGCTTCCTCCCAGAGTAGTCACAATGCAGGTGGCAGCAGCAGTGCATTTCATCCTACTTTAGCCTATTCAGCCAAATTTACAGTCAGATCACAGACTTTTTCAATCACTGATTGACCTCCCGTCCCTTCTTCCTAGTGCTGCTCCTATAAACCAAAAAAGACTGGTAAAACATCTGTCCTTTCAGAAGGAAGGAGTTAGACCCTGCTCAGGGCTTTCAGATTGAATTCCAGCAGCAGGTTCTAAATGTGAATACAGTTCCAGTAATGTAGCTGTGACTTGCTCACAGTCAAAGATAACTTGAAATTTACAATAACTTTGCAGTTTCTTACAAAGTGCTAAGGAAAGCTGGTATAGAAAGCCTTTTACTCTGATTTTATATCTTCTGTCTTTAGTTATTACCTTCTGAACCATAAACTAATTCAGGTTAGAAGGGACCCTCAAAATGTCACCTAGTCCAAACTTCTACAGAAGCACACCTTATTAAGTTTTCTGTAGTTTGAATGTCAAACAGTGAAAAAAAAATTGTGTCAGTCTGGATGGCAGTTCTGAGCAGCCACACTTTGGATCTGTTTTTCTTTCAGCCATCGACATAATTTGAAATCTATATTGAAAAAGGAAAGGCAAGAAACTCATTACAATGCCCTGCATACCATTTTTTTTCCCCAGACAAAACCAAATTAATTTCAAATAACTCAAAATTTATAAGGATTTTTTCATCACATCTAATTTAATGTGTTTAATTAGTGAGCTGGTTAATTGAAATTAGCTGTCATTATTCACTAGTCACATGACACAAGCTATCTGCTTAGTAGTTCTTCAAAGGATATTTGACTTATATGTAGATATAATGTAACTGGAAATGAGGTAGACACTGGCTTATCATCAACTTTGGAAATTTAGAATAGCTAGAGTTTTACTACACAATTCATAAATTTTTGCCTGAGAAGAAGCCAGCGACAAAA